ATTTATGTTCATGTGTACATCTTTTATTCAGTTTACAAAAGAATTTCATTTGTTTTCATTAATAGAAAACATGTAGAACAAACAAAATTACATTTTATCAAAGAAGTTACAACAAAAAAAAAATCTTCTATTCGATGATTTATATTGCAATTTTACATTCATTTTGATAGGGCAGGCTTCTTTTATATTTCGCTTGAAATTGACTTTCTTCTTTTCTATGCGGGGTTTTTTATTTCATTGCTAGGGGATCTACTTAAATTATTTCATAGATATTATTATAAATTTCTATTTTAGACTGGTCGTCTTGAACAATTTCAAAATTATTGTTTTCTTCCACTTGAATTTCATGATGTTAGTCAAATAAAAGCAAGTTTTAAAAAAATGACACGTGCTTGTGTTCCAAGTATGTCAGCACAAACATCGAATAGTAGTCATCATACACATAGTAATAATGGTGTTGATATATCATCAGTTACATTATCTAATTCAATGTCATTTTATAAACTTATTGAAGAATCACGTTGGCTTTATCAAGTAAAAATTAAATTTTAGATTTTTAAAAAAAAGTTTTTTTTTTGCTTTTCATTTAGTTACAAAAAATTTTAATGGTTTGTGTATATATCGTACAATTTATTGAAGATCATGCATCATCAGTAATGATTTGTGTTGAAGATGGTTGGGATACAGCTGCACAACTTGTTTCAATAAGTGAATTATTACTTGATCCATATTATCGAACATTTGAAGGTTTTCAAACATTAATTGAACGTGAATGGTTTGCATTTGGACATCGTTTTTCACATCGATCAAATCAAACAGCAACAAATAAAACTGGTTTTGCACCTGTTTTTCTTCAATTTCTTGATCTTGTTCATCAAGTAAATTTTTAAACATAAGATTTCATAATCAATCATTTTAATTATTAGAAAAGAACAAAATGAATATCATATTCTGGAATCAGCATGAAATTATTAATTTTTAACTTGCGCGTATCCCCCCTCAGGTCACTTTTTCGAAAAAAGTTTCATTTACAAAGGTTTTTTTCTCAATGGAGAACTACGTCATATTTTTCACCGAGGGATCGCGCGGAAAGTTTCTCCCGTAGGGATGAGTCAAATGTCATAAAAGGATATAATCCTCGGTCCGGTCTAGGGGTGACCCTTTATCTTTACTTTCCTTTATAATAAAGCATAAAGATAAATGAATCTTTTATCTTTATTTTCTAAAGATAAATGATCCTTTATCTTTAAAAAATAAATGATACCCTTTTTTTCCAATCATTTATCTTTATAAAATAAAGGTAAAGGAATCATTTATTTTTATAAAATAAAGGAAAAATAAAGGAATAGAGGGTTATTGTTTTTCGAACGAAATAGGGCTAAAAGTGTTCAAGGATTATCGGAACTTGCTTTGGAGAACGTTTTTATAATTGAATGGATCTGTTTTGACAGAAATAAAGTATCGAATGCGCAAAATAAATTGCAGATTTTTCATTAATATTTAGCGGATTTTAGCTAGAAAAATAGAAATTGAATTAAAACTAATATCATATTTTTAATCAGCATAGAAAAATAAGCAAACCTATGAATATTTCGAATGCTTTTTAGATATTTCAATTTTTATCGAAAAATTTGCTCTGGTACCCCTCAGGACACTGGTACCAAAAAAGTAGACTTGACGAAGATGTAGTTATAATCTGTTAACACATACTCATTATGGGTGCCACTATCATTTTACAAGTTTAAGGCATATTGGTGCCTGTCGAATTCTATTTTTGGTGAAGTCCACTTTTTTTGTTCCGGAATCCTGAGGGGTACCAGGGCAAATTTTTCGATAGAAATTGAAATATCTAAAAATCATTCGAAATATTCATAGGTTTGCTTATTTTTCTATGCTGATTAAAAATATGATATTAGTTTTAATTCAATTTCTATTTTTCTAGCTAAAATCCGATAAATATTAATGAAAAATCTGCAATTTATTTTGCGCATTCGATACTTTATTTCTGTCAAAACAGATCCATTCAATTATAAAAACGTTCTCCAAAGCAAATTCCGATAATCCTTGAACACTTTTAGCGCTATTTCGTTCGAAAAACAATAACCCTCTATTCCTTTATTTTTTCTTTATTTTATAAAGATAAATGATTGGAAAAAAAGGGTATCATTTATTTTTTAAAGATAAAGGATCATTTATCTTTAGAAAATAAAGATAAAAGATTCATTTATCATTATTTTTTAAAGTAACACTAAATGAACACCCCTAGTCCGGTCCAATAAAATATTTGGTTAGGTCAGGTGACCTGCTTTATAAATCAGAAAATTTTGCGGAACGAAAAAGTATGAAATTTTCTTGTAAATATTTTTGAATTATTAACACTTTTAATAAGCAAAAAAAAAAAACTACTTCAATTAAAATCTTTTAAGATTTGGAATCAATATCCAAGTGAATTTGAATTTAATCAATATTATCTTCGTTTTCTTGCATATCATCATTTATCAAATCGTTTTAAAAATTTTATGCTTGATTGTGATTGTGAACGTAAAAAAGATCGTAATTGGTATGTTGATACAACTCGTGATTCATTAACAGATGATATTACTGGTAAGTTTTATTTTATTCTATTAGTTGATAAACAAAAAAAAAAAATTTCTCTGATTTTTGTTTTTAAAGGTTTATATCGTTGTAATACAATAAATATTTGGGATTATATAACAAAAGTTAATCGAGAATCAGCAAGATTTTATAATTTTCTTTATTCATCATCGAATGATTGTTGTGTTCTTCGTCCATCATATAAAATGTATTCACTTGATATATGGGATTTTTATTTAAGTGAAACATTAGAAACAGGTTGTCCATATGATCTTGATATAGCATTAGCTGAACATGATGAACATTTAAATGATGCTGAATTAAAACAACGTACAAAATGTATATCAGCTATTTATGATGATATTAGTATTTGTTTACCAGATTTTTTTAATGATATTGTTTCTGTAAGGAAGCTCGGAGTTTTTTTTTTTGAATAGCTACATATATATATCTTCTTTGTTCCCTAGGAAATGTCTAATACATTACAATATACAAATACTGAATCATGGAAAGTTTATTGGGATAAAATTGAAAAACCTGAACGAGAAAAAGTACAGGTATTTATCATAGAATTTATTTAGTATTTGAAATTGCGAATTGTTTCTAATGTTATGTTAGAGTTGGAGATAATTTAGTATGATAGAAAATATTTGTATTTTCCTTTTTTATCTAGATAGTTTTTCTGAAATAAACAATATGTTTTAAAATTACATAGAAAAAAACATATTTGATTTTTTTAGCTGATTTAACATTTCAATTTCATAAACTTCTTTCTTTTTCTACACCTACAGCTTCCAGATTTCAAGATCAAAACAAAAAACGAAATAAAACTGACAGTAAGGATCGACTATTAGTTTAGTTAATACGTATTATATGCTACGGAAAAACTTAATACAATAAATTTCATACATATATATACAGTAGTAGACAAAAGTCTTCGCCCTAGTCGATCTCAGCTATTGTGTATACTGGAGGTCTGAAAATTTCTGTACACGTACTTCATCAGCATCGCAACACCATAATTGCTTACTTACAAAGAGTGTTATAATTGATGGTACCTTTTTTTTTGTTGTAAGCCTCATAACTCTAAAAAGGAAGAATATTCTAGGTCAATCGACTCTTTAATATGCAATGTCATAGATGAAATTGGTCTAGGTTTTTGATCACCAATACCGAACTGATAGACCGACACCCACATCCTCGTGAAATTTCAATAAAACTTCATTATATATTTAATGAACAACATCGATGAGGACTAATAAAAATGTTGCAAAAGTCTTAATAAAAAGTAAAAAAGTTTAACCGATAACATAATGTTATGCTAATTTCATTGAAGTTCAGTAATCATTTCAAAAACTATGCTTATTGTTATGGAGAGAAACAATCTACTTCGATGTGAAAGCCAATATCTGATGACAGAACGTCCGCAAGTATCACATTGCTTTTAAACTATGACTATATTCAATCAATAGGGATTAGTGAGTAAGTAAATACCTTGGAATGATTCGTGCTGTTGGATCTTTGTTGCTGAGATATCGAATTTTTCCTGCAAGACTCAAGTTTTCAAGTAAAATTATACTTATGAATTTTCACTTGAAACTATGCTCACATAATTCGAGATATTAATTGTTTTCAAAATACTTATAGTTTTACATAATCGATAGAAAAATCTCGAATTATGTCGGCATAGTTTCAAGCAAAAATTCATAAGTATGATTTTGCTTGAAAACTTTGATCTTATAGAACAAATTCGATATCTCAGCAACAATTGTGTAGGAGCACTAACCATTCCAGGGTATTTATCTATTTATTAAATCCTATCTATTGAACATAGTCATATCTTAAAAGCAATGTGACACTTTGGAACATTGGCTCGTGAGTAATAGTCCAAACTTTTTGAGAAGTAAAACTTCAATATTCGAGTTGATGAACTTATCTTGTGAATGAAAAAAGACCGTAGATGGAACTATCAGTCACATGTGTAAAAATATCAAGAATGAGTTATATTAAGCGCAAAATTTCGTTTTTTAGGTTATAATACTCAACGTAAAAAAAACTAGATATCCATCGCGGCTGAAAACTTACCGCTACTGTGCCGTCCGTAAACATATTTTCAGACTTCCAACACATACATTGACTGAGATGAAGAGTTTTTCTTCTTCTTCTTCTTCTTTTTAACGAATGTCATCTTTAGTAGTTCCTATATACTTCTTATTGATTTTACAAGTAGTCTTGATAATCTTACTCTAGATATTTGAATTCTTTAAGAAGAATGTATAATATGATTGTTAAAAATAAATAAATAAATAAATAAATAAATTTTTCTAGCGTCTATCAATGCAAGATGAAGCATATAAACGAATAAATTCACATCAAAATTATCTTCAACCACAACGATCATTATCATCATCAATTTCATCATCACGTACATCATCAATGTATGGTTCTCATGCATATGAATTTAAACAATTTACAACACCACAAATTTGTGATGCTTGTGATGAATTAATTGATTCAAAAAAATTACCAAATGGTTCGTAATTATATTGTTTTTTAATTTCAAAAAAATAAAATTTCTATAAATAGAAGGAATACGAGCACTTCAATGTCGTGATTGTTTAAATGTTTGTCATGAAAAATGTCGACCAATAGCATCATGTAAACCATGTCGACGAATTGGTCTTAGTGGAACATCAGATTCTCAAATTGTTGTTAATTCAACTCGATTTGAAACAGGAAGTGTTACAGGTAAATTTTTACAAATCTTTTCAATTGTTTTGTTTTGCCTCTAATTACATAATTTCCAGATATTACTGATGTTTTATTGGAGAAAGCTGGTAAAAATTTCACTATACTTTCTTTATTCGTGTAGAATACACATATTTGTACTTTTACTAACTAAATAGATTTTTGTATTATTAGATTCTAATAGCCATGAAGAACATAACTGAATTAAAAATATTAATGCTAGATCTAGTTCAGAATAACACTATTAAAAAACATATTTATTTTACTAAACGAATTCCTACACGATGAAATTCTACAGTCGGTTAATGCTTGAAAAAATTACATTTGAGATAAATTGAATTATTTATTGAGTAAGATACGTTCATGGGAAAACTTCCTTGAAAAAAAAAAAAGCGAAGTTCAAGCCGGACGCGACTCAACAAAAATTCAGACTTGTTCGATCAATCGAGTTTCATTGATGAGGTTCGATTCGAATTATTGGACATTGTTTACGACCTGTGATTAGAGTAGATCTGATAATCAAAATGTAATATTGTGCATGCAGACATTACAAAACATATCTTTCTTATTGATTCAGTTATTTTTCTTTTTCTTATGGCTATTAAAATCAGATAAGAAAATAGAATTTAATTCTATCTGTAGATATAACAAACTTCTTTCTTTTTTTTTTTTCCGAAAATTTTTTTATCATACAAAAATTTAATTATCATAAATAATATAATATTTTAGGTGTTTATGATCATCATGGTTTATCACATCCATTTTCATCATCAAGTGTAACAGGAAATAATTCAGGTCCACAACATCGAACACATGAAGGTTATTTAAGAAAACGTGGTCATTTATTAAAACAATGGAAAGAACGATGGTTTGTACTTGATTCTGTACGACATGAGGTAATCATTTTTTTATTCTCTTCGAATTTTTGAGAAATTATTAATTCTTTTATTTTTAGCTTCGATATTATGATAGTAGTGATGATCAAACAGCAAAAGGTGTTATTCTTTTAGCTGATGCTGTAGAAATTCTTCCTTATACTGGTCCATTTCCAAATGCATTAAGACGATTTGATAGTCGAGCTGCTTTTGAAGTACAAAAATTAAACATTAGTTTAATTCAAAAAACTATTTTTTTTTTTATTTAGTTACATACAAATCGTCGTATTTATAATTTTATAGCTGCAACACCTCAAGATGCTCAAACATGGACGGAAAAAATTAAATCTTGTCTTCTAGATTCTTAGATAAAAAAACATTTCAAATAGAATCTCATCAGTATTATTGTCAACTTTTGTTTTTTTTTGTTTTATTGTGTGCAATATTCGCTTACTTTTTTTTGTCTTTTCGCTTTGCATGAAATGAAAATTTCATACCTATTTTTTTCTTTTTTTTTTTTGTGTCGTTCATATGTCATTATATTAGCTTAGAGTTATGATCATTTTTAATTGCTAAGAGAAAACAAAAAGATTAAAAAGAGCAATTTTATGTATATACATATATATGTTTGTGTGCATGTGTGATTTTTTCTTTTTCCTTTTTTTTTTTTTGTTCTTTTGAAAGAATGTCATTTATTTATAACTATGTGTGTCTGTGTGTGTGTGTGTTACAAAACCAGAAGAAAAACTTTCACCTGCTTATGAACGAATGAGGATTTTATTTACATATTGGAAAACATACTCGATTATTATTTATATCATCGATCAATAAAATTCGAAGTTAGACTATTATATATAAACTTGAGTTGCCGAGATGATATGAGCTGAACTACCTTGCGGTATGGAGTGCTGCCCAGCAGCAGATTCAATAGTCCGATATCTTCCGTACAACTATGACTTGCTGTAGCTCCGGATAGAAGGCCGGCCTGACGCAGATTTCTTGAGCTCCTCATACACACTAATTAACCACAAGGGCACATGTATGTCACAACGTAGCCAGCATACTATTGGACGGATGATCCAAGACAAATAGCTGTTATTGACTTGTTCACTGACATTCTATGGTTGATGATACTGAAGTTTGCACAAAGTACCTTGTGGATGTGTGTCGAATGACGTAACCATTCAGCCATGGCCACTAACAATCTATTCGAGGACAAGAAACATTAGATATGAGCACAAATACGAATGATCAACAAACTCTTCTAATTTAGTATGAAGCCTTGCACGAGAGTAAGTGGTAGTTGTTTTAAAAATTCCCCATAATTCTCTATGCTTTTTCCTTATTTTGGAACTTCTGTCCGCTGCGATTTTCGCTATTCAACAATGAATGTAGTTTTTCCATTTTTTTTGTAACATTTCGATAAATTCAAGATATAAATGTTAACTTTCTAACACAGCGTTATACATGATTATGTCACATGTTTGCAAATTGAAGTTTGTGGGAAGTGAAATAGGAACTGCGCTTTTGTCAGACATGCGACTAATTTTTGTAGCGTCCTTTTGTCATTGTGATCAATCAACACCGTCCTACTCTTGTTCGATCAATTGTCGCTTTCCCAGATTTTCAAATTAAGCGAAAAAAAACAATGGGCATAGGCATGTGGATTGATAAATAAGAGTATTATGATTGAATCTTCTAAACAAAACATTCCTTTGTAAATATTTCAACAAAAAAAAAGTACAATATCCGCAATAGAAAGGAAAAGTACTTTCGAGATCATTTTGTTTAACTGGTCGATTTTAGGTTTTTAATATGCTGAATTGATGATAATGTAAAAATATCAATGATGCGAATATAAATGCAAAAGAGGTGACAATAGTGCCCTGCATCGGACTCAAAAGCTCGACGGGATCGAAATCCGATAAAAAACACTAACGGAGTCAGTCAATCTCATTTATACGTTGGTCACATTAACAATAGATAAGACGTTCTATGTGAAGTGTCAATTAATATAGATATTTGAGTTTCCATTGATCACAAAACTATTTTCATAGAATCGATCACTTTGTGTAACATTTGTTCTCTATTTTCATAAGTAGTAATTCCTTAATTTACTGTGAAGAATCTGCACTGATTGAATATGAATAAGATGTGGCTATGAGTGAAAGATACCGGCGCAATGACGAGAATTTTTCCAGATTGGATGTGGATACGAAAAGTTGTATCTGTACAATACTATAGTGCAAGTCAGACACATGCACCGTTCGATCTCTTGGAAATTCTGCGGGCGCGACTAATGTAGAGCGGTCGCATGATTCCAGTATGACCATGCTGTCATTGAAAATTTTTTGAAAGTTGAAAATGAAAAACTCAAGTCAAATTTAATGTCGTTCGGTGTTATTTGTGTTAAATCCAAAAATGATAAATAATGAAGCAGTGACTTAGTGCTCATATTTTTAAATTCTACTACTAATGAATTTTAATTGTCGAAGAATATTTGTTTCATACTAAGTGTTCCAGATCATCATTTTATATTTTTTCTCTTATGTTACTTCTTTCGTTACACATACTACATAGAAGCTATTCCATGCGGATATGGGTATAGATGAGAAGAATATCCACATCTACACCATTGTCATAGATATTATCGATTTAGTAAGAAGGATCGAAACTTTTGAATCATCTTTTAGTAATTATTAGAGTTCTGAGATTTTCAAAAAAAATTTTTTTTTTTATTATTTAAAATGCATATTCGTCTTCATAGTTACATATATTTATTAAAAATAAAATATAAACATTCAACATGACACTAATATAGTTAATACGACACCAAAACAAGAACCTTTAATCGTAGAGAATAAGAGTCTGTTCAGTCTTTTGGATAACCGAATTGACTTTATCTGAGAACCATTCAATTTCTTCTACGGCAATAATAGTATCATGCACAGCAAATAAACATCTTATAAGATCAGAAAAACATTTAACAGCTCCTTCAAAATTATATTTATATACTAAATATCTCCAGAGAAGTTCAGTATATGTATTTTGAATATATAAAATTTGTTGAATATTTGTTAAATTTACAGGAGGAGTATGTGAATAAACTGTATATTGAAATGTTGAGAAACAAAGAATCGCAAGAAGTAATTTTAAAACGATTACATCAAAATCAAGTCGAACTGATACACGCTTAGTAGCAATTATTGAATTTACGTTAGTAATCATTCCAACAGTATCATAATAAGCTGGATAACTGAATAAATCAATTTTATGATAAATAAAATTTGATGAAAGACTTCCAATATGTTTAATTGTAGTATGAAGTAAAGTACAACGATCATCCATAGATAAAGAAAGAAAATCTCGATTATTGTTAAATAATAATTGAGTTTCATCAAATAATCCTTTAATAAATTCGACTACTGGTGCACTTTTAAAACGAATTTTAATAGGTAAACTAGTTTGTCTACACATGAAACGTTCACCTATTGATAATCCACTATATTCATCATAACAATGTGACAAATTTGAGATTAAAGCCCATTGATCCGTACTTAATGTTGATTGATCTCTTTGTAAAAGATTCAAAGTAGAAAACTATATATCAAAAACAATATATTAGTAGAATATAGACAACTTGTAAAAATTTCAATTCTATTTCAGATTAATATATAATTCAAACATATATATCATTTTATTATGTCTAATGTACTTCACTAGAAACTAACATAAAAAATTCTAAGAAATACTCAGATCGAGGCGAATGGAGAGTGAAAACGCGTTTGTTTATTCAATAAACACGTTTTGAATAAAGCTTCAAATAAATGAACACACATTCCGAATATGGAGCTCGAAATATATTCGTCTGTTGACTTGTAGCACGTCCGTTCGCCTCGATCTGGATAATCTTTTGTATTAGTTTAGATCCTATTCAAATATTTTTCTATCTAGTTTTATTCAATAGATGTTAATTCCAAGATATTGACTTTTTGTGTTTATTCTATGAAGTTAAATACCTTCTATAGGATTGAGCATATTTTGAGAATGGACAATATTTATTCTATATGTGAAAAAATTTCAAAAAACTTAAATGTTATATTATAAAAACCAGTACAAAGCAATTTTCTATGTGTTTCTTTGAAAAATAGATTTTCCGGCAATAATTTGACGTTTCGCTTCTTTTTCTCTCTAATGATAAGGCTTAAAAGGATAATTATTTTTTATGAGTATGTCATCTAAATTGGTATGTGTTCATTTTTTTTTTGTTGAGACATATAGAATAGAATTAATACAATTAGAAAAAGGCACGTATCCCTATTCAAATACAAGTGGCTCATGTAGAGACAAATTTTAACTCTAAAAATAATCTATGGAATTTAGTAGAAGGAAAAAATAAAGTCATATTCTATCTTCTACATTGTACGAACTCTGAAAATGGAACATTTGAAAAGTTTAAGTCAATAATAAATTTGACTTTTCTCATCGAGATCTATCCGCTTTGAAAGTTACTGGAATTATTGAGAAATCTCGGCACGAGGAACCTATTGAAATATAAAATTTAAAAGTAATTGTGAATTTTTATTTCCGAGACGATTATAAATGGTTGAAGAAAATAATGTATCAATTTAAAAGACTTTACTCATAGTGACAACAGTCATTTATTTAAGTAATGTATGATGCAAAATTAATGGGACAGATGTCGAACTCTATTTCTCTTCCGTACAAAGCTACTAAAAGAAAACTTGTTTTTGTCAGAAGGCAGAAAATTTTTTCTTCTTTCGAATCGTATACAACTTCTTTTTAAAAAGAGTTTTCTTTCAATAGTTTTGTATCGAAGAGAAATAGGGTCCGATCTTTGTTCCATTACTTTTGCATCATACGTTATGATAATAAAATAGTCTCACCTGGACAGGCTCATTTAATCGAACTAAAACTTTTGATACTCTTTCTTCTGAATTGGAGACGATTAATTTTCTTTTTCTATTTGGTTTATTCCTGTTTGAAAAAGTAGATTGATTCATCCTAATTTGCATTCCACTTTTAAAACATTTGACAATTCGACAGTAAGAACAAACATGACGAGTATTTATATTTATTTCACAATGACCATCATAACGACATTTCAAGGTTTCCTAAAAAAAAAAGAAAAAAAATAAGTGAATATAATTAAAAACAAATGTATATTTTCAATTGACTTGTCCATGTTTAGCATTTCGTTTGAAAAATGTTTTGCATGGATCACATGAAATAACCCCAAAATGTGTATGTCTAGCAGGAACTTCACAAATTTTGCATTTATTTTGTACCATTGTTGATTGTCGTTTATTATTTGTAAAATTATTAGACAATGAGTTTTCCATCAACAGAACACATTACTATTTAATTAAATCTAGAAAAAGAAGAAGCAATAGTAGAATTATGACATTCAATAGAAATTATTAAGAGAAGACTCGAACATTCATCAACTTATAATCTGAAAATCATAAAGAATATGTACAAAACTGTAAAAAGCAACAAAACTATTTTGTTTAGAATATATCTATTATTTGCGATTACAATAATAATTCTAGTGACAACTCCATATTTATTTTATAACTAAATGATGTCAACGTTAATCTAGATAAAACAAAAAGAGAACGAGAAATGAATAGAGACAAAAAAAAATAACATTTTTTCTTTCTATCTGACAAAGAGAATGTCGACATTTAGATAAATATCCACATTATGACGATTAGTGTAAAAAGAAGACTGCTATTATGCAAACAAGAAAAAATACACCAATAGAATTTTAGACAGAAACTAAGTAAAATGAAACAAGTTCATGAAGTTTAAATCAAAAACACGAGGAAAAAAATCATATATCAAATAATGAAACGGACACTAAAATTAATATATTAGTTTAAGTTTTTGTTTTGTTATCCAAAATATCATTTCATTTCATTTTCTTTTTGACAGTCAAGATGGTAATCATTTCTTTATATTTAGAAGAAAATTTGTTTCGAAACTCAGATATATTGTCGAAGAAAATAGTGAATGTAAGTTTTAAGCCGAAGTTTTCCAGCTTCTCCTCTCTCCCCATGTCTGCTCATTAAAAATCTTATAAAACATCCTTAAAAAAAAAAACAAGAAAAAATCCTGTTCAAAATGCAGATCCTTACTCTAATAAATGATTACCTTGAAAAACAACTGTAATCTACAAGAGACTCTTCACTTAATCTAATTTGTATTAGTTTAATGAAATTAAAGAACATGTGGAAGTTCTACATTTCAGTCCCTCAGGGCCTGTGCTAATAAGTTTTTTTTTTCACGTGTAATTTTATTGTCCCTATTCAATGACGTTGACAATAAAAGGTTAAGAAGAAACGCAATAATATGAGTAAGTGATAATAAAAGATATATATAGTACGGACGCTGAGCCGAAAAATCATAACAGAAAAGTGAAACAATCGCAAAAGTTCTGTGATTGATCATTTGAGTTTTTTGGAGGGGCCTAAGATAGCGTTTATTTCAGTAGATAGAGAAAATTTTTCTGTATCGAATTGTGTTTTTAGATTTTTCTTAAAAAGAGTCATGTAACGACATAAAACGTCGCAAAGATAAGATTGTAACGCTCTCTTTATGGTATATCCTTTTTCTGTTGAGATAACTATCAAAAGTTGCGCTTGGGCTAGATAAAGGAACGTACACTTAGTCTTTTGACTCTACTCAAGCTCGAAAATTTTCGATAATAACTTAGAACAAAATAGGCAAAATATGTGGCGCTACACAATGTGTATATTTGATATTGATGGGATAATTCATCGGGCTCAACGTACATACTAATAGCACGTGGTCTGATGGACAAAAAGAACAATCAGTGTTGAAACGCACCACTAATAGTGACGTATTTGCGAGTATGAGGGTCAGAAGATAAATTTATAATAGAAAGTACTTATGACCAGTTCTCTTTGAAACTACGTTATCATTTTCTGAAAAAAAGAGAGTCTCACACGAAAGATGACGCCACATTACAATTCTTGAGTGCTATAAGCGATGCATTATTATGGCACCAAATTATGTAATGACATCGTCTCAATAATGAATTGTGTGGATTGTTTCAAAATATTACTATCTACGGCATAATGGTTTACATGCAAAGTATCTTTTCAATTTTCTATAGAATAGAGATACATACTGAAGTGTTATTTGATTGTAATGCATGAATTTTTTTATTTTATTTATCAGTACTTTATTAAAATAGAAAAAAATTACACAAATAAAAAAAAAGAACGAACATCTATTTTTGAATATCCGAGAAAATGAAAAAAAAGTATACCTGAAGAGGAGAAAAGAATATTAATGATATATCCTTATGTCTGGCAGTACTTTCTTGTGTCATGGCTCGTCGACTTTTAATTCTAGTTAATTTTATTTACTGAGGTGTTGATATTATTGGTTGAGAGAAAGGTCTTGAGGAAGAAGGGTGTGGGTGTGGATGTAGATGTAGGTGTCTTCTCTCTCACGTTCATATCCACGTCCACACCCACACCCTCAGCTTATTTTTTGACCTTTTCTGCTGAAAAAAACCGAAATTTTTTTTGGAATAGGGGTGATCGCCTCACTCTAAATCTGCCACTGGTTGCAAAATTAAGCGGAAATGGGAAACGCATGTAACTATGAAAGATGCAGAAAAAAAATACATAGTAAAACCGCCCATACTGGACCCTTTTGAAAAGTCCAAAGGGTGTCCACTATATAGAGGTTATACTTTATATGGATGATCTTGAAGATACACATAAATGGCACTTTGGCTTTTATATATGAAGGTGAGAAACATTAGAAAACTTTATTTGCATACTAAATAATTTTTTCAATGAATATTCCTGAATATTCACATATACACAGATCAGAGAGTATTAGAATGAAAATCATTGTCCACCTGATTATGAAACAAATTTAGATATAGTTAATCATCTATATATATATATATATACTACACATATCACGACTAATTCTATTAATTATTTTCCAAATGTCATAGAATTTAGTTTCGATCAATATCATGATGCATTTGATAATCTGACTGCAATCGCTTTCAATCACATTTTTAACTATTGAATGTCAGTTTTTTCCTTATAAACAGTTGATCAATTTATTATGTTCTACACCTAATAAACCTTCATTCTATACCATTCAAGAAGAATATGAATTAATTCAAAGTGAATCATTTCGATCAATCTCTCATAGCAATACTATTCAAAATTTGATCCTCGACGAATGTTCTATATTAAAACAGATTTAATTCATTATTGATTTATGTCCTCGATTGGAACAATTTACCATTGAAATGAATAGAAAAGAATTTTTCTCTATTATGCGATTTTATTATTAGACAAAAATAATGAAAATACTCGTCATTTATTCCACATCTGCACCCACTCATCCTCAGGTGTTTTATTTCATTCTCATCCACACTCAAATCCTGGCCTACCCTTGTACATCATAATGACTTTAATAGAATAATATTTTCGGTCATCTATGTTGTTTTATATACATTAGTTTTTGTTTTGTTTTTTCAATTGAAACAAAGCAGTTACAGGAAAATGATCAGAAGAATAATTACTAGATCGAATATCAATAACAGATATGAATCGAGGTTCTAAATGTTTACTTCCATCAATAGAATTCTGATATAAAATCCAATCGACATGAAATCGACGTGAAGACCATATTGACATCATTTTCGATAAATCGACCATACGATAATATTTTGTGAATTTCTTCAAAATATCGATATATGATAAATAATGTCTTGGAAGTCCATGCGGTAATATAATACCTAAACCATGAAAAGTAAATGCAATCGTCTGTAGAAATTGAAAAGCATAAGTATTGAGTATTGATCCAAGCCAACCATGGAAAGTTGATGAAAATGAATTTGATATACATGTAGATGAATGAACTTTGCAAATTGTCCACGTATCATATAGAAAATTTGAAGATGTTAATATATCATATGGAGTTTGTTTTGGAATGCTATTAAAATCTCCAAATAATAAAACTACATCCGTTGGGTATTGCCTTTGCCATTTGTTTATTGTTGAACGAACAATCTTCGCTTGCTCTTGACGAGCTTGTTCACTTTTAGAATCTAAATGAGTGTTAAAAACAAGAATATTAGTTGAATTATCATTCTCTGATATTAATTCAAAGCGTGCAATATTCAATGTTCGTACTGCATGACTCTCCCAGTCTTTACTCCCAATAAATCTTGGTGTCTTTGATAGCCAAAGATAATCTTGTTCTAGTAATTTTAATATTTGATTATTGTATAAAATAGCAACTTGAAAATCCATATGAGATAATGGATGTTGAATACTACTATTAGTACGATCATGTTGATAGCCAATCGATTGATAATATCTTGGTAAATGAGATTGCCAATG